CAAAAAGAGATCGAATATGGAAGCCCAAGATCCATAAGTTTAGACACTAGTCTATGTGGAAGGGTTGTGTTGAATGCAGAACCAAAGTCTACAACAGGATCAGGAACAGGATCAGGGCGCAACACAGCAGTGGAGGAGACCTGTTTCCCATCCCCAGGTAACACCTTCCTGCTCATGTTCTCCAGCTCCTGATTGCTTTCGGTGGTAGCCCTGGCTCCAGTAGGTCTTATGCTCAGCCCCGGCTCATTCTGCTCCACTTCCTTCCTTGCTAGCATTTTCCAAGTTATTTAGAGGGGAAAAATGCTCAATGGTGCACAACCAAAGAGATGAATATATTTAACTAGTAAAACTTAGCTTGACAGCAGAATTTAATTCTTTCCCCCAAAAAATTCACTTGGCTCTGTGGAAAAGCTGAGTAAGGTCTAATAATAGAGGAGTTACAAGGATTTACTGTAGTTATTATAAGGAATTGTGGAAACTGAAGCTTCTGTAATTTCCTCAAATTCTGTGCAATGCAGGGCAATTCCAAGGAACACAGACGCATTTCTTTAACCTTCACCATCCTTTTTTCTGTTTGTTTCACATTCTGTTCTCCATAATTTCTCAGGAACAACAGGTCTGTTTCACCAGAGTCAACATTGGTTTCTTAAATGTACAAGCAAGGCCATCTTTGCTTCCTTCACTGCCAAGCAACAAAGTGGGAGGCAATTCATCCCCAAGACCCAAACGCTTTGCTAAAAAAAAAAAAAGCTGAGCGGGGGGACAAAATCAGCGTTGCTTTGTGGCATCATGCAGAACTGGGCACAACAGTCCATTGGAGAGCACAAGGCATCAGCGTATGCACTTCAGAAAGCTTCAGTTTCCCAGGAGTCCCCCGTGGGTTTGCTTCCTCCAAATCTGCTGCCTGCCGGGCATTGCTTAACCAAGTCTTCTGTCCACCCTTTCCTAGCCGGACACCCCCAGCTCAGATTCCTCTCAGTTTAGGAGCCTCAGTCCTGGCCCAGCCAGTCGCCACGGCCCAGGGCTGAGGTGAGGTGAGGTGAGGGAAGGCGGGAGGAAGGAGCAGCGTTCCCTCTCCTGGCCTGGCAGAAGCTGAAAGGCAAAGATTGCCATCAGGCAGGTCACCTTCCCGGCCAACCTGATAAGGGTGGCTCTTGGGGCGAGGGTGCCCACACCGCAATCTCTCCCAATGAGGA